GAATGTTCCACACCCAGGGACCCCAAACTCTGCCAAATAGCTGGGGGGGAAGTATATTTTCATATTTCTTCTTTGGGGCTAATCTTATTCTCTATAATTTTGCACCCAGCACAGTTCTCTGCATAAAGAAGGCTTAGTAAATATTTGTTAAATAAATGCTAAAGAACAAATTGCCAAGGTATTTCAAAGGAAATCTCCCTCCAGGAGAACATTGATCCATTAATTATTTCTCTTTTACTACAGTCATTCACTCAGTTTTAAATCCATCTAGAATTTTGGTAGGAGTCAAAATCAGTTCATTAGCCTACAGAACACAGACATCTTCTTCCTTTGTCTGAAAATTGCACTTACCTACTCAAATTCTTTGGCACCTATTCAGAGGTGTATTGGTGGCTCTGCTAAAAAAATGTATACATGACATTTTAAAGTGTAATCTACATTATTATAATTTTCTCTAGCCCTTTCACAATAAATCAAGCTCTGATTTGTAGCATTTGTTAATTTCTGAGGTGTCAATGCTCATATTGTAAATTTAATGATTGGCCCACTTGAACTCACTGAGGATGACTTAGGTATTTCCTTACCATCTCCTCCTTTCTCTGAGGTTTTATTTCCATGTTAACCACCGTTAGTCTGACATTCCAGTCTGAAAAATCTTTCTCCTTGATAGAGATCAATTTCTCATTAAGCACATGAGCAAAATAATAAGGGTTATAAATAACATGTGCCCGGAGGGGCCACCATCTTAATCTCTATTCTCATTCCCATCCTGATCCCTTTACCTATCCCTACTTGCATCCCCATCTCAATCCTTATCCCCACCAGATGGCTGCTCTTTCTAAGCACATCCCCAAGGACACAAGCCCAATGTTTCCCAGAACTCCCACTTCCACTAGATAGAGGCCAACACTTTTTGCCTATATTTCCACGGTTCACAGTGCAGTGTTAGGTCAGCACAAAGAAGCCTGATTAGGACAATGAAAGCTTGGTTCAGTTATAATCTCTATATTGATGATTCCTAGAGCCACCTGCCTATCTATCTATCTATCTATCTATCTATCTATCTATCTATCTATATTTTGTACCCAAATATGTTTGTATTCTTCTTTTAACCAGATTACAGTGAGATTTAAGTGTCATTCTTCAAACCCCTTCCTCCATGTTTGACTAGTCTGTACCTGAGTTCCCCAATTATGTGAGATTTCTTCCACTCTTCCTCTCTGTCCCCACTTCCTAGTGTATTCCTTTTCCCTTCTATCTTTCCTTTCTTATCTCCAGATCCTCAAAACATAACAAAATCCCCTCTCAGGCCTTCTATCTTATTAGACCCGCTCTATGATCCCTAATGTTGGGATTCTGAGGGGACACTTGTATCATATCCCCTTACTGGAATGTAAATGTTTCATCTTTGTTTGGACCGTTATTCACTACAATAGTTGCTTCATCCACAAAGTCTTCCTTCCATGATATTTTCAGCCACAAGTTCTGTCTCTGTACTCTTATTGGCCTCCTTCCCCAATAAATTTAGATCTAGAATGGAAATTATTATAGATTTTCAGGATGTGTCCATTGCCCCTGATAAACAGTAAGCTCCATGAAGTCTTGCTAATTAGTTTATGAATCATTGTATTTCCTCTTCTAATAATAACATTAATTCATATTTATTTATTTATTTATTTATTCACTGATTCAGTCATTCCTTCATTTAGCAATGATCATCAAGCAGCTACTCCATACCTTCTCCCTTGAAGTCCTACATGCTATATCTTAGCATGCTAATGATCTTGTGGTCCCCAAAGTGAAGCCAATGGCTATGACAGATTCAGTTGTGGCAAATTTTATCAAACTCGAAAGATTTGACTAAAGACTAGGTGTCAGCTAATATAGCAGTGCTCCTGTTAGGTATATGCAAAAAGATGACTACAAAAATAATTGAAGCTTTTATCCCAATATCCATCGTATAGTATGAAGAAGTGGAGAAATTCTATAAAATTGCATAAGGTCCTACAAATGAAGTTGACATATATGATGGCTTCAGTGAAAAGGGGGGCCCAGCAAAATATCACTCAAGGGCAAGAAGTTAAAGAGGTGATATGGTTTTAAACATCATAGAAGCACCTTATACCTATATATCATGAAAACTTTTTTTGAGAAAAGTATCAGAAGATAGTAGACCTGGTAAGGACCAAGCAAAATTATAAAAATGAAGCTGATTATATTTCAAAAGGTAGGACAAAATTCATTGGTAATGTCAGAAATATTTCTGAATCAGCTGCCTGGGTATGTAGTCAGACCACCAACTTGTTAGAGCTAAGAGAAAAAGGAACACAATGCTGAAAGAAAGAATAAAATTGTGGGCAATATATGGCATGTAATTAAAGCAGCCTAATTAAATGAGTTATTAATGCCCCAAAGTGGGAACTGGATAAAGGAAATCATATCAGTGTCAATTATTATAGTTTTTATAGAAGTTTCACTGATGTACTTCAGTTTCCATAAAAAGGAGTCTAGAAGAGACTAAAGACTTTGCCAAGTGGAGAGATGTAGCAGACCAATGCCATATCATTTTCTAATATAAATTTGACTTTAAATCTTTTGTAGAAAGATAGTGAAAGATTAAAAGCATTTTGACCTCTTAAAGCTCCAAGAAATTTTGAGGAAAACTTGGTGAGAGAATTAACTGCACAGTGTCATTCTGAGAGCATTTAGGTATGGATGGAATGGGAAAAAAAGAAGGGCAAATGGGAAGATCTGTAAAGATTTTTATAGCAAAGTATTTCCCCCCATATTTAGAACTAACATGACAGCCCCAGGTATACTTCTAGAACAAAGACTCTTAGCCTCTTTTGTTTCATGGATGCCTTTGGTATCTTGGTGAAGCCTATGGATCCCTTTTCAGAATAATGGCTTTAAATCTATAAAATAAAATACATAAGATTACAAAGAAAGCCAAAGGCTTTAAGCAAAACAAAGATATCATTTTTTTCCCCCATCCAAATTCTCAGATTCTCTGAATGAAATCTATCTATAGACCTATTAGGGGACTTCAGGTTGAGAACCTCTGCACTAAAGGAAGTGAAAATAGAATTGAAGACCAAAACGGGAAAAGCAACTAGACGAGAACAAATATATGAAGAAAAGTTCCTTGCTGGAGGCAACACATACTTTAAGGCACTGATAGATCAATTCTCAAGGTATCTGAAAGAGGGAAAGACACAATAGCATGGAGAAAAAACTCCTTAGACACTATTACCAAAAAAGGTGCCCAAGTGAACATCAATAGCTACCAATCCTATATGCCTTCTTTCATATCTATGTAAACGATTTATGAGGATAACCAGCACACGCATTGAGGGCACCCTTGATAGAGACAGTTAGGTGATACAGTAGATAGAATGCTAGGTTTGGAGTCAGGAAGATGAGAGTTCCATAAACTTACTAGTTGAGTGATCCTGGGCAAGTCATGTAACTTCTATACAGTAAAATGTCACCTTAACGGTTCCCATCCAACGAAATGTCTCCATTAATATATTAAAATTCTAAGAGTCCTTAAAAGATAAAAACAAAGTAAATAAATTTGTTCAACAGTCCTTTAATCATTCATAGAAAGGGAGGTATGAAATAGATTTGCCAGAGGTGTTTGCCTTTACCATGGAGGGGATCTGGTGGAGAGTCTGAATTTGAAGGGGACAGGATTCCTATAGATGGCAAAGTCTGTAGATATTCCTCTCCACAAATGATATTGTGCTGGTTACATCAAGCTCCAGAGCATGGAAAACCATCCTGGATGAGATCCATAGTCATTGCAAAAAAGTTGGACCTAGCTATCCACGCAGAAAAAACAAACACATGGGTCAAAAATAACTTTTGCCCAAACTATGTTATTCAGTTGGGTGGACAATGTTGAGAGATTGTCAATCTGTATTTTTATCTTGGATGGGCACTGCAACTGGGCAGTGAGTTGGACCTGGAACTAAATTGGAAGAGAGCAGGCTGATTGCTTTTGGAAAAAAGCAAAAAGATTTTAATAGCCCTAAGCTTCACTTGAAACAAAGGCTCATTCTTTTAATATCAGTGTTCTGATGATGCTCTGTGTCTGAGTCATGGAACACTGCATCATCTGAAAAACTGAAGTTTAGCTTCATCCAAAAGATATTGAACTGGTGTATAGTGCACATGACCAGGTGGTAGGTAACACATTACAAACAAGGAATTATGTGGAAGAGATTTTATAAACAAAGTCATTGAAGAGATATGTGAGTGAAAAAGAAGATGGTCAGGTCATATAGAAGGAGGAAGATGGAAATGGCTCAGGGAGAACCTGTATGCTCCATTAGTATCTTTGATACATGAAGAGAAGGCTCCCACCATGTTGAGAAATCCCTGTGGTGAATTGATGGGAGGGAATGGCCAATAATCATGCATGATGCATAAACATGCATGGGCTGTAATCTGTATGCTTGGATAGGAATACCCTCCTAGATCATAGTGGAGAACTTGTGAAGTGTTGCAACACTGTGCTTTTCAGGGGAACAAAGTAGTATTCAATATTTTATTTTTTCCCCAGTTACATGTAAAAACAATTTCTAACATTTGTTTTTAAAACTTTGAGTTCCAAATTCTCTCCCTTCCCATCTCCCCTCCCCCAGTTCAGAAGGCGAATAATTTGATAAAGGTTATACATGTGAAGGCATCCAAACATTTCCATAATAGTCATGTTGTTAGGGAAAATATAGACCAAACAAAAAAAAACTCAAGAAAAGTAAAGGAAGTAAAAAAAATATGCTTCAATCTGTATTCAGATGCTATCAGTTCTTTCTCTGGGGACAGATAGCATTTTTCAGGGCAACAATCTAAACAGAAAGATGAAAGAAGTCCTAGCAGCAAGCTGTCCTGTTTCACATACTTTGCACCAGCCCCCACCATTTTCCTTCCTTCTGATATATGCTGGACTCAGCAAGCCTCGGCTCCATACAGCTCCACCCACTGACCCCTGATCATCTGACATACTTCAGTCCAGGACTGGATCTCGGGACATTATTGCCCACTCTTCGTCAAAGCTGACCAGAGCCACTTGCCTCCAGGGCTCCTTCTGCCATTATTCTGACCCTAGGTCACACTCACACCACCCAAACCATGATTCTACTCTTCTTCATGTTACTTGGTAAGTGCTCTTAGTTTGTTCTTTCCTGCCTTAGGTTCTTCAGTCCTCACAGCACACACCCTGGTACAGGGGGAGTACAAGGGAGTTCACTCTTGGCCATATTGTACATATGGGGGACTGTTCACATAGAAAGCTCTAAACTTTTCTCTTCTTACTTCTCTGTGTTTGATTTCCTTTTCCTTTTTTTTTTCTCTTTTGCATTTTTTAACCTCCTGGTCCCTATTTACCTTGAATATGAATATGTAATATGACCACCAGAGCTTTTCCTATCTTGTTTCAGAGTCTTGCCCAGCTTGGGTTTGTGCCATTTTATTTTTTAATCCTAAAGGGATTCACCCATGACTATTCTCTATTTATAGCACAAAGGGATGGTCTGAAGCACTTAGCACAATGCCTGGCACATAATAAGCACATATATATATATATATATATATATATATATATATATATATATATATATATATGTATACACACACACGTATATATGTATATATATATATGTATATGTATATGTATATGTATATGTATATGTATATGTATATGTATATGTATATGTATATGTGTATGTATGTGTATGTATATGTATATGTGTATGTGTATGTGTATATATATACACACACATATATATATGAGGTACAGGTGAAGAGAAGTAGAGAAAAGAAATAAATGCTCTGTCTTTATGTCATCTTATCTAATTTTCTTTTTCATGGTTTTGTCCAGGCTATTTTTGCTTCCTGTAATTCCCTTTTCCACCTCCTTCCTCTTTGTCTATACGAATCCTTCAAGACACAGAAGAGACCCACCTCTTCCTTGAGGCTTTCCCTAAGCACTCCAGGGCCCAGGGATCTTCCCCTCCTCTGAGGAGCCATAGAATGGCTTGTCCAGTATTGCTCATTTATATCAGACATTATGAGTTTTGATGTACACATCTTGCCTCCCTAACTAGCCTACAAGTGCCTGAAGGGTAGATCTCCTCTTTTGAGATTCTTTGGATCTCCTCAGTGTGCATAGGTTTGGGTGGGCTGCATAATAGGGTTCATGAATGCTTCTTGTTGACTCATCTTTTCCCCTCCTTTCCTTCCCCAGCCACAGGCACTGGACTTGGCTTGTCAGGTAAGAGCTTTTATTTAGCCTTGGAACCCCTGAAAACTTGATCCCCCCCCAACCCTGCTAAAGGAGAGGAGGTTTTGAAGCTTCTTGAGCTCTGGAGAGACATTTGAGGTAACACACCTCAACCACCAGAGAGGAGAATCTCTGCCCAATGACTTTCTATTTCCACCTCCAAGACCAGGGGAAGGAGAGAGTGGTTTCCACAAAGCACAGGTCTTCTCCTTTTGCTTCTTCCCAGGGTTCTTTCACCACAAACCAATGACTTGGCTGCTTGAGTTCAGGATTTCTAGAGAGTTTGTAGGTGCAGGTTAGGTTATGGATTCTCAGGCTCTCATTACTTATTATTGATGCATTTTAGCCCTCATATGGGATTCTTTTACTAACTCACTAGGTGACATTTGGCAAATTACTTCCTTCTCTCTTGCTCTGTTTCCATTTCAGTACAATGAGAGAATGAAACTAGGTGATTTCTCAAATCTGCTTAGGCCTTGAGGCTCTGACTCTTAGCCCAGACTGCACCCTTTTTTCCAGTCAGCACACTTTTGTGTCCCCAGTCCCTGGGTTACTCAGCCCTTCCTTATTAGAATCCTAGGTCTACCCCAGGCCACAGCAATTAGGAGTGGATTGGAGGGCTTAAGCAGAATGAAATAAAAAGCTTGAGTCAGCCCGTGTGAGTAATATGATGGGGAATCTCCTAAAAATAACAAAAAGGACTCCCAAGGAGCACTGAGGGCCTTACTGAGGTAGTAGAAAGAAGCTAGGAGTCTAAGAGGCAGGAGAGACCTGGGATTTAGTCCTAGTAGTCACTCTACTTCTCCTTCTCAAAAGTAGGGGGGGACAAGGGAATCTGAGGTGTTATCCAAGCTGGCTACAGAGGCAAGCAAATACAGAAGGAAGTGGACGGACTGGAAGAATATGGAGCATTGTGGGACCGAAGGGGTAAAAGCAGGTCTAGCAGGAAGAACAGCGTGGTACATGCAGGTAGTAGTCAGAAAGTGTTTAAGGTCTTGTCCCAATGACATTCACCTGTGCTTTAGGGTTACAGAAGTAGAGTGAAGATAAAGGCTGACAAGGTCAAGGAGCTAGAAGGCTAGGGTGTCAGAATGGTCCTCTTCCTTCACTTTGAAGAATTGTTTGGATGAAGTAAAGGGTAAAATTTTCTTTTTAAATTGTGAAGTGTCATACATTTGTACTTTTTATTATTATTATGTAAGCTATTAATATAATTATTATTATTTCATCCTTATTCAAGGGAGAGATTTAATGATCAGCTTGATGTCAAGCCTACTCCTAATCCTCAATCTGTTTCTCAAATTCTTCATAGCTCCTGAACATGTGTACTCTTAATCATAATGAATAACAACAGATCATTTTAAAAATACTTTACAGTTTACAAAGATCTTTCTTACAGACATCCCTGCGAGGTAGGTAGTAGGATAATGAGAATTTTTATCTCCATTTTGCAATGAGCACACTAAGAGTCAAAGCATTTAAGTGACTTGCCCAACGTCAAAAATCTAGTAAAGGATTCAAACCCAGTCGTAATTTAAAACTAATTCTTCTGACTCCAGTTCCAAAACTCCTTCCACTTTCCAGGTTACCTCTGTGGGAACCTGATAACAATCCTAGGTTCAAAGCATCCATACCACCATTTTCTATCTGTCCAGGGAGAAGCTAAAGTGTTACAAAGGCCCATGGCTTCCATCTGCCCTTGGTGAATTTCCCTAAAGACTGGCATTCTGGGGCTCTGGCCATTTCTTCTTACAGCCAAGAAGCCTGAAACCTGTGGGTTCATCAGAACCAAACCTGGCTTCAGTGTGAATCAAATATGAGCTTCCCTTCCCCCCCCAAATTGAAACTAGTAGAGCTTTGGAGGGCATTGGGCAGTAAGGGATGTTGAAAGAGTGGGGTGGGATTAGAAATAGGACAGAGGGTCACAAAGAGTTGGAGATGACTGAAATAACTGAACAACAACAGGAGCTGTTATAATGTGCTTAGAAGTCCCTGCTATTTCAATGATATGGGAAACTCCTGGTGAGGACACTCTCTCCATCAACGTAGGTCAGCATTTTTCAGCAACTTCTAGTCTCAGAGAGTTGCCTGGGATACTGAAAGGTTAAGTGATCCACCCAGGGTCATACTGTTGGTATATATCTGAGACAGGACTTGAGCCTGGGTCTTCCTGACTCCATCAAGTTTAGTAGATTTAAATAGGGGCCACCAGGGTTTTTTCTCAGGATGGAGAATTCCCCTCAAGAATGGAAAATTAGCCCTGGGGCAAAAGGACTTTTTTTGGTGTCTGAAAGAAGTTATGAGGTAGAAGGAGAGAGCCCTGAATACGGCACCGCAACCCCTGGGGTAGGATCCTGGCTTTGACATTTGTCACTATAGAATCTTGGGCAAACCATTCAGTTCTCTGGGTTTCAGGTTCCTCATCTGTGAAATGAAAAGAATGGACTCTAAGGTCCACTTCAACTCTGAGGTTATGATCCTTTAAGGAAAAAGACCAGCAGCTGAACCTGGTGTTTGGGCTGGGATGCAAATGTATCCTGGGGCAGTGAGGGGGCTAGACGATGGTGAAAACGGGAGCAGGAGCAGCCTGCCTCTAGTAGAGCAGCTTAACACAGTCTTGTGGGGTGTGTTGGATAAGAAGGGAGAGAAAAAAGCAGGATCCAAGCTCTGACTGCAGGAGCAAGGCTACCCTACTCCATAATGATGGGGGATGGCCATTCAGGTGCTGGCTTATGGCATAATGCTGGAGACAGACTAGGAAACTTCCCATCCTCACTTATGATTGGCTGGAACATCAGGTGGAGAAAGATGGATAGAGAGACAGCATTTCAGTCCTTGCTAGAAGGTCATTTCACTCTGTCTCCCTGAGTTTACAAACTTTTCTTTTCCTCTAAGTTTTTCCTTCACCATATTCTCAGACTTTCCTGCAGGGATTGAACAAGAAACCTGAGTTGAAAATAGGGTGGATCTTCCTGTGGAGTGAGGAGGTAGTTTAGGAGTGTGGGAGATAGGGACTGGGCTGCTTCAGGGAAAGGGAGATGTTTCCCCAGGTCAAAGAGTTCTGGGCTGAGACCCTGTCCTGGAAGAAGGATGATCACAAAGGGCAAGGCAGAAGAGGGCACCAGTCCTTCATCCCTGCTGGAGAGCTGTGCCTTCCTGGGTGTGCTTTTTTGAAGCCTCCTATCTCAGGAACCTCAAAATCAAGGAAAGGGAGACCTTTCCTGCTCAGCTGCTTTTTCTGAATCGTGAGAGCTGGTGCCGCTGCCCTGGAAGAACTGGAACTCGGGAAACGAGAGCCAGAGAAGGGAAAAGACAGGTTCTCCAAGGGAGATCAAATTTCAAAAGTAGGAATCAGGGCACCTAGCTCTACCACTAATTCCATTCCTCTGTTCCCTCTCCTCTACAATGAAGGCATAGGACGAGGTGGTTTCCAAAGTCCTCCCTAGCTCTAAAAGTTTATAAATCTACCTGGTTTTGGTGCTCCATTGACTACACCTCAGGTCAGCCTCAACTTCAGTAAGAGTTAGATGAGCCTTCCTCTGTGACTTCTTGCTCAAGGATTTCAGTTTCCTGCTCTGTTAACTTTGAAAGAATGACTCTAAGTGATCCATAAGGTTCCTTTTATCACTAATATGATGATTGTGGGGAGGTGAGGTTGGCATGTATCTATTTGCTATGAGGCTTAAAACTCCATCCCAGAAGTAACCAGTCGACTTGGATGACAAGTATGAAAACTTAACTGACCCTAGCACCTAGCTGTCAAGAATGATTAGTTTAAAAAAGTAACTACCCAAGGATCTGTTTCCTCAGGGGTGGGAAGTCTTCCAAGCAATGGCCTTGATGTACCCTGAGGTTCCCCCCCCCCAACTCCTGCAGAGTGGTTTTCTTTTTCTCCCTGAAATTAAGGGGGGCTTTTTGCCAATTGTGCCATTTGACCGGGGTGTAAAACTTCATAGCTATGCTTCTGACTGAGTACCTCCCCAGATCTGCCTTGTGTGATCATTTTTGAGATCTTTCATTCTCCCCAATGATCTGGTCATTTGCAGACCTCCCTCATGGCATGCGCCTAGTGGGAGGCCCTAACCCTTGTGAAGGTCGGGTGGAGTTGTGGAAGAATGGACAATGGGGCACTGTATGTGATGACTATTGGACGAAAAAAACAATGGCTATAGTGTGCCAGGAGCTGCAATGTGGACCAGGTGTGGCATCACCAGCTGGCAGAGTCTATTCACCAAAAGCCCAGGAAGACCAGCCCATTTGGAACCTGAACTGCCAAGGGACAGAAGCGAAACTGGCAGAATGTGAAGAAGATATATATGTAGAATGCAATGATCATGATGAAGATGTAGGTGTAATCTGTGAAGGTGAGTTATTAGTGGTCACCTGAGGGCTTGGGATGACCCTGAACTTAATAAGGATATAATCATAATAATAATAGTTATTATAATAATTATAATGGTGCTTTTAAGGTTTACAAAGTGCTTTCCTCAGATCAATCTTATAAGTTAGTACAAGTAATTATTATCTTCAGTTTATGGTTGAGGAAACAAAGGATCAGAGAGAGTAAGAGACTTGCCTAGGGGCACACAGCTGATGAGTTACCAGAGTTGCAACATGAAAACAAGTCTTCTGACTGCAAGTCTTTTACTCTGTCCAAAACATGCTGACTGTCTAGGTTTCATCCCCTTCTGTGTTTACTTATATTTTTATTATCCATTTTCTACTCTTGGCAAGATCCACTGTGTGACATTGGGCAAATCTTTTAGAGTCTTTGAAGCTTTTTCCCTGTTGGAAAAATGACTGGGTTGTGATAACACCTGAGCTCCCTTCCAGATCTTTATTCTAGTATCCTATAAAATGCTCCATGAAGCAACTAGAACTTTAACCCAGTTCATTCTCCCGACTCTTCCCATTCCAGGCCAGGTACTCTATCCATTGCACCACCTACCTGTCCCCACACCCATAATAACCCTATTCAATACCCACATCCTGAAGGGAGCTTTCATCAGTTAAACCACCCAATCTAACCTTAGTCAGTATACACACAGACACACACACACACACACACACACACACACACACACACGAGTGCCTATCTGCTTGATACTTCACATGTGTCAATCAATCAGTGAATGATAGTAAAAGGAAGGGAAAGACATTTCCGTCCTCAAGGTGCTCACAGTCTAGATAGGAAGAACAGCACACACACACACACAGACACACACACACACACACACGTCAAAAAATAATTCACTTCTACTTAACACATATTCATAATATATACTGTATATATTTCCCCATGGGTAAATGTATGTTTCATAAGTATCAAGACTTTCTGTCTTTATGTCTGGTCTTTGTTCTCCAAGAACCATGCTACATAGTTTTAAGCAAGTCAAGGGTAGAGTCCCGGCCACAAGACCTGTATTCAAGTCCCACCAATTCCTTTTTTTTAAAAAAAAATTATTTTCCCTCTAATTACATGTAAAAACAATTTTTAGCATTAAGGTTTTTATTAATTTTTTTTAATTTTGAGTTCCTTTCTCCCTCCCTTACCTCTCCCTTCCCTGAGACAGTAAGCAATCTGATCTAGGCTATCCATATGCAATCATGTAAAACATATTTCCACAGTAGGCATTTTTAAGTCCCACCAATTCCAAGGCTGCCACTTACTAGCTCTCAGATTTTGGACAAGTCATTTCCTCTCTCTGGGTCTCATTCTGTAAGTGAGAGGAATGGACTAGATTATCTCTGAGTTTCAGAGGGTGCCCAAATATGACTGTGGCTTGCCTTAGAGCTGTCCATGAACCCTCTTTCTGACATAAAGCAGCATCAAGCTAACAAAATCCCTGCAGAGCATGAGAATAGCAGACTCTCAAAACCAAGTCATAAGGAGTTCAGCTGAAGAGGGGGAAAGAAGTCAAGAAATGAAGAAATAGGCATGTGGGCTGAGTACAAAGTCAACAGAGACTGGAAATAAGGAGAAGGAAATGCAGGCTAGTACCACCTGGCCAGACAGGGGTGGCTCCCATATAGATGAAGCCTCTATAAAGTGAGCATCTTGTGGAAGGTTGAGAGGTTACTCTAGTGGAATGGAAAAAAAAAAAAGACTTGGTGCCATAGTGCAGTAGGAAGGATACCTTTTGGAACTAGAGATCTTGAGTTTAAATTCTAGGTCTACTATTTACTCTGTGTTACTTTGGCCAATTGCTTAAATTCTGTAGTGAGGAATTCTCATAAGTGATGGATCAGCTCTCTAAGGTACCATCCAGCTTTAAGATTATAATCCTATGATTGTTGTGACCATTGACTATTTAATTAAAGTCTCTAGTCCTTAATTTACCCTTCTGTAAAATGAAGGGACTAGACTAAATTAACTTTATGATTACTTCCAGTTCTTCATCCAATGATGTAGCTAGGTGACTCTACCACTTCTATTTTTATGATTTAAACCTACTGATTTTAAATCCTTAGAGGGTCACCAGTGTCCAGGTCCTGACTATTTTTCCAATCTGCAAAATGAGGATAATATTACCTACACCTACATTATAGGACTGTTGGGGGAATCCAGTGATATAATAGATGTAAAAATGCTGTGAAAAGTCAAAGCAAATATATAAATTGTTGCCAAAAAGTAGAACCAAGATTGTAAATCTAACATCTTAAGTTCTTTTCACTGTCTTATTTTTAAAGAAATTCTAAATTTAGATGACTTCCGGCTGGTTGATGGTCCTAGTCACTGCATTGGCCGAGTGGAGGTGAAGCATGTTGGGAAGTGGGATACCGTGTGCAATGCAGGCTGGACTTTCCAGGATGCCGAGGTGCTGTGTCAGGAGCTAGGCTGTGGAAGATCCATTCTGACAAAAGGTTCTTATAGTAAGGATGAACAAGGAACAGGTGACATCTGGCCAGGTCAAGTGGAATGCCAAGGGTCAGAACCATCCCTGAGTCACTGTGCAGTTGTACTAATGGAGAAGAACAACTGTTCTCATCAGGATGATACCTGGGTCCACTGTGAAGGTAATGCTTGGGATTCTAGGATCTAACTCTGTTTAAATCAGTCCAATTAATCCAGTATATATCAGGATCCTTAAAAGAATGGAGACTTGATTCCTTTTATCAGGAATGGAACACTTTGCCTTTAGAAGGAAGGGGGCAGGGGCGGCAGCGGTGGTGGTGGTGATCAGTTGATGGTAGCTTCTAAATGGCATGGAAGTCCAAACTTGTTACATATTTACCCATAGTCAACTCAGAATTCTCTGCTTGGGCCTTATCTATTTTAAGTATTCTTGTACAAAATTGTTCATGAAAGACCAGTTTCTCTCAGCCAGCCAAAAAGTTTCTTCAGTCTCTTTACAGAAACATTTGCAAGGAGTCAGGGAGCCTTTTCTCCCAGCTCAGGGGTTTTTAATATGGGATCTGTGAACTTGTCTTGTGTTTGTTTGTTCAATGTTTTGATGATTGTATTTCAAGATAAATTTTTTTACATTCCTATGTATTTTATTTTGTGCATTTAAAAACATCATTCTGAGAAGGGGTCCCTAGATTTCACCAGAATATCAAAGGGTCTGTGACACAAAAAGGTTGAAGAGCCTGTCTTAGCTGACGCCTGAATAGAGTCATTTGTCTCTGACGTCTTCATTACTTTCTTTTTAATGGTCCCCATACCCCTAGAGCATGCCTTAAAGTGCTATAAATGCTAGCTATTACGTTTTTATTATTACTTCACAAGGTTGTTATAATGGTCACAAAAGTTAAAGCACTATATAAATGCTAGCTGATTGTTATTATTAGGAAGGTACGCTTTTTTAAATCATAGAAAGCCATGATAAGGCTTGTGTCAGGAAAGAGAATAAGAGTAAGCTCAACGTGATGAACTGTTACTAAGCTTACTGTCTTCAAAGCACTATGCTTGGCTATAGGGGGAATCAGACATGGGGTTTATGAAATCATAATCAAATTGGAGAAATATGACACATACACCACTAACTTAAATAAAAGATACGAATAATAATGCCCTAAGAGAGATAGAAAATGCTATGTGAAGTCTGAACATCATTACTAGCTATAATCTGGCTCGAATTAGTAAAAATAACGAATGCTCTGAAGTAGTGCATTATAAAAATACCCACTGCACATTTCCACTGGCTAGAACCAACCACCATATTTTACATAATTATAACTTCAAATAGCATGAATCCAAATACATGTGAAGACTTCAGGGAATTCATTATTTGCAATAATCAAGACCAAGCTATAGGTGAATTAGAGATGACTTTCTAGAGCACGTGAGTTGGAGGATGGGATTCCAGCAAGTGTTGACATGTGGTATGTACAAAGGACAGAAATTAGGTCACAGAACCACTAAAATATATTGTTTAAAGAGTTCTTGGCATCCATCTTGTTGACTTCATACTTCAACAACATACAAGATGCCCAACAAACCAGCAAGTGAATGTCCACTTAGCTTGAAGACCTCCTGTGAGTGGGAACCCATTTCTTCTCCAGGCAGCCCATTATGTTCTGAGACAGTTTTAATTATCAGGAAATATTTGGTTACATTAAACCTAAATTTGCCTATTTGCAACTTCTACCCATTGCTAGTTCTGTCCATGGGGACCAAGTGAAAGAGGTCTGATTCTTCTTTCACATAACAGCCTTTAAAATGCTTGAAGACTGTTATCCTTTCCCCACTGAGTCCTCTCTTCTTCATGTTAAACATCTCTAGAACAAGACAGCCAGGTGGCCCATTACACTTTACCATATATCATCTTGTGGCACAATTTAACCCCTAGATGTGGTGTATCGCTGCTCTAGCCAGGGCCTGTACAATGAGACTTTTTCATATAAACCTTGGTAAAACAGAAGTGAAGGGGCAGCTAGGTGGTGCAATGGATAGAGCATTGGGCTTGGAATCAGGAAGAGTCATCTTCATGAGCTCAGATCTGGCCTCAGATACTTACTAGCTGTGTGACCCTGGGCAAGTCACTTAATCCTGTTTGCCTCAGTTTCCTCATCTGTAAAAGAAGCTAGAGAAGGAAATGGCAAACCACTCAAGTATTTTTACCAAGAAAACCCCAAATATGAAGAATCAGACACAACTGAACAAAAAAAAAACTTGATTGTTTTCATACTAATTGAGCTTTTCCACTAAATGACTCATCATGGGAAACTTTCTGTCTTAGAAATCTTTTATTACACCAAATTGGAATGGAGGGGTGGGAAGTAAAGATGGAGGGGATGGGAGGTAGCGGTGGCAGGAAGGGAGTCTGGAGAGAAGATGGGACCTTGAAAGAAACGCAATGGAGAGGCAATAAAAAATAATACCTAGAACTCAGTCAGGGTAGAAGTGTGAAATCTCTATTCCCTACCTGGCCCCTTTTTTTCTGAGCTCTGGGAGTATTATATGGGTTATACAGAAAAGAAGTTTCTCACATCAGTAGAATGCTCAGTGACTCTTATTTGAATAGCTTTCCAGTGCCTTGATTAAATTGAATTGAGTACTGCAGGAATGGGTGAATAATCTGCTGATGGAACTATGAGGAGAGAAAGACTAGTGCTGAAGAAAGAACATTTCAGCAGGTATCAGAGCAACTTGGTTGAACTGCTGGCTCTCCTGCACTTATTACTTATGACCTTGGGCCAATCACTACATTTCCCTGGCTTTAAGTTTCCTCCAGTCAAGGGATGGGGAAACTGCGGCCTTGAGGTCCATATGAGGTCATATTGACCTCAACGCCACAGGTTCCCCACCCCTGTCCTAGTGTGAGATGTCAACATTCTCTGGTTAACGACTTCATAGGGGTTTCATTAAATTTAGACTGGAAGAGGTAATCTAGGCCAGCAGTTCTCAGTCTTTCTGGTCTCAGAATGCCTTTACACACTTTTTTTTTTTGATAATTGAGGTTAAGTGACTTGCCCAGGGTCACACAGATAGTAATTGTTAAATGTTTGGTCTGAGGCTGGATTTGAACTCAGGTCTTCCTGACTTCAGGGCTGATGCTCTATCCCCTGTGCCTCCTACCTTCCCCACGCCTTTACACTCTTAAAAATTATTAAGGACATTCTTCTTCTTTAAGAGCTTTAAAAATATATGTTTTATGTTTTTTTATGTTTTTTAAACATAAAATTGTTATATGTTTTAATATTTTAATATATATTTTTATTTATATAGATTTTATCCATTGATATTTATCACAGCAGAAATTAAAGCATCTTAGTATTATTATGAGAATAGCTTAAAGGGTGATACTTATCACGATAGAAATAAAACCACCCTAGTATTATTATGAGAATAGTTTTGACCTTATGGGCCCTTTGAATGGGGTTGTGGGTTCTCCAGAACACACTTTGAGAAACTCTGATTCTAATCATTCTTTTCATTTTATTAATTAGGAAACTGAGGCCTAGAGGGAGGGAAGGAACATGTATTAAGCACCTACTCAGAGCCAAATGTTTTATAAATCTGATCCCCACAACAACCAGCTAGCTATGCTATGGTAGATTGAGCAGAGTTTCAAATGCTCACTAGCCATGGACACTGGCAGGGAAGGAAGAAGGGAAGAGGCATTTATTAAGCGCCTACTATGTGTCAGGCAGTGTGTTAAGTGCTTTACAAGTATCTCATTTGATCCTCACCACAACCCTGGGAGGTAGGTTCTATTATTATCCCTATTTCACAGATGAGAAAACTGAGGCTGACAAAGGTTTAATGATTTGCACGCAGCTAGTAAGTATCTAAGGTCACATCTGAACTCAGGTCTTCTTGATTCCAGACTCAGTGCTCTATCCACTATGTTACCTAGCTTCCCTAAGAGATCTTGTTACCTAGTTGCCCTCAGACGCATTGTTACTTGCCCAGGATCATAGCAAGGAGTAGAGCTTTAGATTCAACTAGAAAGTCAATTGTTTGCCCATAACAGTCTACTACTATTTTTCTTTCTGAGCTTCTGTAAAATGGTGATAAGAAGATCTTCCCTGCTTATTGCTTGAAAGACTTGTGGGTCTGAAAGGGGAAACAGCTCTGTGTCTGGCAACACAAGACCAGATTTGGAATCTTGGTTCTGTTACTACCTGTGTCATTTGGGGCACGCATCTTAAAGTTCTTGGGCCTCAGTTTCCTTATCAATAAAATGGGAGGGGGGAGAGATGACCCAAGATTGTAAACCTCACGTCTTAAGTTCTTTTCACTGTCTTATTTTTAAAGAAATTCTAAATTTGGATGACTTCCGGCTGGTTGATGGCCCTAGTCACTGCATTGGCCGAGTGGAGGTGAAGCATGCTGGGAAGTGGGATAGCGTGTGCAATGCAGGCTGGACCTTCCAGAATGCCAAGGTGCTGTGTCAGGAGCTAGGCTGTGGAAGATCCATTCTGACGAAAGGTTCTTGTGCCAAGGATCAACAGGGCACAGGGGACATCTGGCCAGGTCAAGTGGAATGCCAAGGGTCAGAACCATCCCTGAGTCACTGTGCAGTTGTACTAATGGAGAAGAACAACTGTTCTCATCAGGATGATACCTGGGTCCACTGTGAAGGTAATGCTTGGGATTCTAGGATCTAACTCTGTTTAAATCAGTCCAATTAATCCAGTATATATCAGGATCCTTAAAAGAATGGAGACTTGATTCCTTTTATCAGGAATGGAACACTTTGCCTTTAGAAGGAAGGGGGCAGGGGCGGCAGCGGTGGTGGTGGTGATCAGTTGATGGTAGCTTCTAAATGGCATGGAAGTCCAAACTTGTTACATATTTACCCATAGTCAACTCAGAATTCTCTGCTTGGGCCTTATCTATTTTAAGTATTCTTGTACAAAATTGTTCATGAAAGACCAGTTTCTCTCAGCCAGCCAAAAAGTTTCTTCAGTCTCTTTACAGAAACATTTGCAAGGAGTCAGGGAGCCTTTTCTCCCAGCTCAGGGGTTTTTAATATGGGATCTGTGAACTTGTCTTGTGTTTGTTTGTTCAATGTTTTGATGATTGTATTTCAAGATAAATTTTTTTACATCCTATGTATTTTATTTTGTGCATTTAAAAACATCATTCTGAGAAGGGGTCCCTAGATTTCACCAGAATATCAAAGGGGTCTGTGACACAAAAAGGTTGAAGAGCCTGTCTTAGCTGACGCCTGAATAGAGTCATTTGTCTCTGACGTCTTCATTACTTTCTTTTTAATGGTCCCCATACCCCTAGAGCATGCCTTAAAGTGCTATAAATGCTAGCTATTACGTTTTTATTATTACTTCACAAGGTTGTTATAATGGTCACAAAAGTTAAAGCACTATATAAATGCTAGCTGATTGTTATTATTAGGAAGGTACGCTTTTTTAAATCATAGAAAGCCATGATAAGGCTTGTGTCAGGAAAGAGAATAAGAGTAAGCTCAACGTGATGAACTGTTACTAAGCTTACTGTCTTCAAAGCACTATGCTTGGCTATAGGGGGAATCAGACATGGGGTTTATGAAATCATAATCAAATTGGAGAAATATGACACATACACCACTAACTTAAATAAAAGATACGGAATAATAATGCCCTAAGAGAGATAGAAAATGCTATGTGAAGTCTGAACATCATTACTAGCTATAATCTGGCTCGAATTAGTAAAAATAACGAATGCTCTGAAGTAGTGCATTATAAAAATACCCACTGCACATTTCCACTGGGCTAGAACCAACCACCATATTTTACATAATTATAACTTCAAATAGCATGAATCCAAATACATGTGAAGACTTCAGGGAATTCATTATTTGCAATAATCAAGACCAAGCTATAGGTGAATTAGAGATGACTTTCTAGAGCACGTGAGTTGGAGGATGGGATTCCAGCAAGTGTTGACATGTGGTATGTACAAAGGACAGAAATTAGGTCACAGAACCACTAAAATATATTGTTTAAAGAGTTCTTGGCATCCATCTTGTTGACTTCATACTTCAACAACATACAAGATGCCCAACAAACCAGCAAGTGAATGTCCACTTAGCTTGAAGACCTCCTGTGAGTGGGAACCCATTTCTTCTCCAGGCAGCCCATTATGTTCTGAGACAGTTTTAATTATCAGGAAATATTTGGTTACATTAAACCTAAATTTGCCTATTTGCAACTTCTACCCATTGCTAGTTCTGTCCATGGGGACCAAGTGAAAGAGGTCGGATTCTTCTTTCACATAACAGCCTTTAAAATGCTTGAAGACTGTTATCCTTTCCCCACTGAGTCCTCTCTTCTTCATGTTAAACATCTCTAGAACAAGACAGCCAGGTGGCCCATTACACTTTACCATATATCATCTTGTGGCACAATTTAACCCCTAGATGTGGTGTATCGCTGCTCTAGCCAGGGCCTGTACAATGAGACTTTTTCATATAAACCTTGGTAAAACAGAAGTGAAGGGGCAGCTAGGTGGTGCAATGGATAGAGCATTGGGCTTGGAATCAGGAAGAGTCATCTTCATGAGCTCAGATCTGGCCTCAGATACTTACTAGCTGTGTGACCCTGGGCAAGTCACTTAATCCTGTTTGCCTCAGTTTCCTCATCTGTAAAAGAAGCTAGAGAAGGAAATGGCAAACCACTCAAGTATTTTTACCAAGAAAACCCCAAATATGAAGAATCAGACACAACTGAACAAAAAAAAAAACTTGATTGTTTTCATACTAATTGAGCTTTTCCACTAAATGACTCATCATGGGAAACTTTCTGTCTTAGAAATCTTTTATTACACCAAATTGGAATGGAGGGGTGGGAAGTAAAGATGGAGGGGATGGGAGGTAGCGGTGGCAGGAAGGGAGTCTGGAGAGAAGATGGGACCTTGAAAGAAACGCAATGGAGAGGCAATAAAAAATAATACCTAGAACTCAGTCAGGGTAGAAGTGTGAAATCTCTATTCCCTACCTGGCCCCTTTTTTTCTGAGCTCTGGGAGTATTATATGGGTTACATAGAAAAGAAATTTCCCACGCCAGTTGAATGCTCAGTGACTCTTATTTGAATAGCTTTCCAGTGCCTTGATTAAATTGAATTGAGTACTGTAGGAACGGGTGAATAATCTGCTGATGGAACTATGAGGAGAGAAAGACTAGTGCTGAAGAAAGAACATTTCAGCAGGTATCAGAGCAACTTGGTTGAACTGCTGGCTCTCCTGCACTTATTACTCATGATCTTGGGCCAATCACTACATTTCCCTGGCTTTAAGTTTCCTCCAGTCAAGGGATGGGGAAACTGCGGCCTTGAGGTCCATATGAGGTCATATTGACCTCAACGCCACAGGTTCCCCACCCCTGTCCTAGTGTGAGATGTCAACATTCTCTGGTTAACGACTTCATAGGGGTTTCATTAAATTTAGACTGGAAGAGGTAATCTAGGCCAGCAGTTCTCAGTCTTTCTGGTCTCAGAATGCCTTTACACACTTTTTTTTTTGATAATTGAGGTTAAGTGACTTGCCCAGGGTCACACAGATAGTAATTGTTAAATGTTTGGTCTGAGGCTGGATTTGAACTCAGGTCTTCCTGACTTCAGGGCTGATGCTCTATCCCCTGTGCCTCCTACCTTCCCCACGCCTTTACACTCTTAAAAATTATTAAGGACATTCTTCTTCTTTAAGAGCTTTAAAAATATATGTTTTATGTTTTTTATGTTTTTTAAACATAAAATTGTTATATGTTTTAATATTTTAATATATATTTTTATTTATATAGATTTTATCCATTGATATTTATCACAGCAGAAATTAAAGCATCTTAGTATTATTATGAGAATAGCTTAAAGGGTGATACTTATCACGATAGAAATAAAACCACCCTAGTATTATTATGAGAATAGTTTTGACCTTATGGGCCCTTTGAATGGGGTTGTGGGTTCTCCAGAACACACTTTGAGAAACTCTGATTCTAATCATTCTTTTCATTTTATTAATTAGGAAACTGAGGCCTAGAGGGAGGGAAGGAACATGTATTAAGCACCTACTCAGAGCCAAATGTTTTATAAATCTGATCCCCACAACAACCAGCTAGCTATGCTATGGTAGATTGAGCAGAGTTTCAAATGCTCACTAGCCATGGACACTGGCAGGGAAGGAAGAAGGGAAGAGGCATTTATTAAGCGCCTACTATGTGTCAGGCAGTGTGTTAAGTGCTTTACAAGTATCTCATTTGATCCTCACCACAACCCTGGGAGGTAGGTTCTATTATTATCCCTATTTCACAGATGAGAAAACTGAGGCTGACAAGGTTTAATGATTTGCACGCAGCTAGTAAGTATCTAAGGTCACATCTGAACTCAGGTCTTCTTGATTCCAGACTCAGCGCTCTATCCACTATGTTACCTAGCTTCCCTAAGAGATCTTGTTACCTAGTTGCCCTCAGACGCATTGTTACTTGCCCAGGATCATAGCAAGGAGTAGAGCTTTAGATTCAACTAGAAAGTCAATTGTTTGCCCACAACAGTCTACTACTATTTTTCTTTCTGAGCTTCTGTAAAATGGTGATAAGAAGATCTTCCCTGCTTATTGCTTGAAAGACTTGTGGGTCTGAAAGGGGAAACAGCTCTGTGTCTGGCAACACAAGACCAGATTTGGAATCTTGGTTCTGTTACTACCTGTGTCATTTGGGACATGCACCTTAAAGTTCTTGGGCCTCAGTTTCCTCATCCATAAAATGGGGTAGGGGGGAGAGATGATTTGTAACATTCCTTCCAGCTATCCATCCTGTCTCTGACTTGTGGCTACTCCACCGAAGTGTCGGAATCAAATGGGGTAATGAATATGAATTTGCCTACAAACATCAGCTACCCTCATGGCCTGGGTGATCTCTGACATCTCTTTTAGTTGTAAATCCTCGAAACCTGTTGTTATTGAAACCTAATGTTATTAAGGAAAAGGAGAATTTAGTAGAGGAAAGAAAAATGGGCACAATAAGTGTCCAGCCCTTCTGGTTTACACCATCAGTCCATGACTTGTTCATCTCTCTTTTCTCCCCAGAACGCTTTGCCTTGAGGCTGGTGGATGGAAGACACAAGTGTTCAGGTCGCCTGGAGGTGCTCCACAAAGGCATTTGGGGCTCTGTTTGCAATGATGGCTGGGGAGAAAAGGAGGATCAGGTGGTTTGCCAGGAGGTGAACTGTGGCAAGGCTGTCTTCCAGAAGCCCCGAGACAGGGTGCGTTTTGGCCATGGGAAAGGCTACATCTGGTTGGATGACGTCCGCTGCAAGGGGAAGGAGACGTCCTTGGAACAATGTAAACACCGTTTCTGGGGCTACCATGACTGCACCCACCGGGAGGATGTGTCTGTAATATGTTCTGGTATGCCGGAGGCCCAAGGGGAGCCTAGGTTGGGGGAGGTGATTCTAACAGTAGGAGGTGATATCACCTTCTTAAGCTCAGCTTGACCCACTCCCTCACCTCCAGAATGCTCAGCCCCATGAACACATTATCCTGTTGTCATCAGACTAGTCATTGTAATTGAACGCCACTAATGGTTGTGGTTGGAGACTGGAGGCGGGGAGGAAATGACGGTCACATAATCAACACAGGCAGTCTAGTGCATCCTCTTCTTTTTACAAATGGAGAAACTGAGGCACAGAGAGAGGAAATGACTAACTTGAAATCACACAGTTACAGAGCTAAGACTAGAACCCAAGTCTACCTCCCTCCTTGTCTAGTACTGTTTTTCCACTGCCCTTTGCTCTCTCTCTTCCTAATTAATTCCAATCAAGATCATGAGAAAGGGCTACAACCCTACCCCCACTCCCTGGACTTCCATGGGCTATATCTGGGGACGATCCTTGGATCGTATTAGAAAAACCTAGTTCCCATTCCTGTAGAATGGAAATTCCCAGAGCAATGAAGTAGGAAGCCCTAACCACAATTCCCCAAAGCCTCCAAAGGCTACTGGCCGATTTGAAGAAAAGGCCCTGTGTGAGAATGTCCTGTACTCCCAATCCCCTGTCTCTCTGAGTCTCTGCTTTCCAACAGGAATAGAATTGCAAGCATAGGGATCAGAAGGTGTAATGGTGGGGAAGAGACAATCAGAAACACTCCCTGCCCCATGATATTCCTTATTCTCAGGATCAGGTCAGGGGACTGGCAGGTGCTTAGGGCCTCTGAATCACATTCTGGGAGCTAGAAATGACAATGCTGTGATACCAATAATCATCATTTCTGTATCTATAGTCCTTCAAAGCTCTACAGAGCTTTTTCCTCACAAAAACTATGTGGGGTGAGTAGTGACAGTGTAATACAAATGAGAAAATTGAGGCTCAGAAAGAATAAGTGAATTGTCCCAGTTGTACAGGTCGTAATTTATTATCATTTCAAGAGACAGGCAAGTGGATCCTATAGGCTCTGTACCATCTGTTTTTGATATGGCATGAACATAATGAGAACAGTGAGTGGTGAATTCAGGGATGGCCACTTCTTTCCTGTACTATAATCTAGTCCTCTTTAGATTACCAGAGAAAGGGGGCAGCTAGGTGGGAGCTAGGTGGGGCAGTGGATACAGCACTGGCCCTGGAGTCAGGAGGACCTGAGTTCAAATCTGGCCTCAGACCAAACACTTGACACTTACTAGCTGTGTGACCCTGGGCAAGTCACTTAACCCCAATTGCCTAAAAACAAAAAAAAAGAAAGAAAAAGAAAATATAGATTACCAGAGAACAATCCATAAGGACTCATTGGATTTTAAGCTAAAAGGAATTTGGAATTAAACTAGTCTCCCTCTTCCCCAAAACACACCTCCCTCCATGTTATAGATGAGATATATGTTACAGATGAGAAAGTCCCAAAGAGTTTAGGTTACCGGAGACTCGAACCCATGCCCTCTGCCTCCAAATAGAGTGCTCTTTTCACTACATTAGACTGACTTTCCCCCTACTCCCTCTCCTCATAGCTCCCTCTCTTATTGGCTTATCTTCTTTACAGAAAAATAACAGGACCCTTCTTTGGAACCCAGAGCCGGCCCAATCCCAGGAACGTCTCCTGCCAGGCTCATGGATTCCAATCTCTCCCATGGCTTCTGATGGACCAGAAGGCTTTATCTGCTTCTCCCTCACTTCTACCAAGGAGTCTTTCAGCCACATAATCTGCTACTGTGAGATTAACCCTTTCATTTCTTCCTGAAGTCATAATGTGTGAGGACAGAGGAAGGACAAACCTTCTGGGGAGCCGAGTTTCTGACTTTTCTAGGCTCCCCCTCTGACTGCAGACCCCTTGGCATGGGCTCTCTAACTTTCCTTCTCTCTTTTCAACCCACTTGGGATCCTCCAGTTCTGACTTCCTGGTACTTTTCCCTGCTGAGTTGTAAGAACAAGACTTGCGTATGTGAATTAATAAAAGCATCAAAGGAAACTGGGTATTAGTCTCTTTCATATGAACTATAAGAAGCCATTGACAATATTTCCTTAGAAGCAGTTTTAGAGTGTTTGGCTCTACTCAGTGCTTCCGATCTCATCACAGCAGGGCCTCTTGCCTCCCCTGGGTTCTTAAGGTTTTAGATCCTTGGTCAGAGGGAAAGTCCCTGGCTTGGAGTGAAACATTTACTGTGGGTACAGATCATCTTCTGAGATCCAGGACTGGCTTATTTACTCTCAAAAGCATTGCTGTTGCAGCTATAATGAATGATCCTTACCCCAATTTGTATGTATCTTTTGAACCACTTTTAATAATGCAGGTTTCTGCAAACTTTTAAAAAATAGTTTGACAACTGTGTTTCAACATAATTGGTTTTCTTTGGAACCCTATATATTTTATGTGTTTAAAGACATCTCAAGGAATCCATAGATTTCCCCAGATTGCCAAAGGATTCCATGACACACAAAAAAGTTAGTAACCCCTGATGTAGAGGTAGATGAAATGCATCTTAAGTAAATATAGCTGCCCTACAAATATACATTGGAACGCTGGATAACTGATCACCCCTGGGAGATGAGTAAGAAGAGGAATAATCAGAGAGAATCCAGGGGATGTGAAGACTTGACCCAAGGACAGCTCTTCCTCTTTAAAGAATAACTAACATTGCTAGTATTTATATAGCTCTTTAATGTTTAAAAACCACTTTACAAATATTATCTCATTTTATCCTCACAAAAAACCCTGGGAGGTAGATGCTATTGTCTGAGAAAGAAGCTGAAAAATAGGGCCCAATATGGGGTGGGTCAGTAGAGAATATCTTTGGGGATACCTGAATTAGAGTGATGTTAGCCGTGGGCAGTATTAACAATCACACCTGAGTTCCACGAATAGCCTTTATTGACCACATACTAAGGCTTAGAGGGTTGGTACCATAAGGTAATATAATGATAATAACTTAAGGTCTATAAAGCTCTTTATGAACATCATCTCATTTGAATGTGGAGACTGAGGCTTTCAGAGAAGCATCTAAGAAACTTTATTGTCCCACATGACAAGACTTTGTGACAGGGGGCAAGGAATATGTCCATAATTCGCCCTAAATTCCAGAGGATACCTAGGAATTCACGTACCTTCTGTTCTCTGATGACCATAGGCAGAGCTAGTAAATGTTTAACAGTTGGCTCTTTGGGGGAAAAAAGTCTGTGTGTATATGTATATTGCATATACATATATGTATATGTAACATACATACTATTATCTAATTAAGTAAATTCACACCATTGACATCCTTTACGTTAGGAAAATTTATACTATGCATATTATGCATATACTATAATGAATGAAAATTTTGAGAGGGAGTTTTTGGGTAATTTATTTACTATTTATTATTTCTGGGTAATTTACTTATAATCAACTTATTAATTATGGTTAGTAAATAATAGCAAATAATAAAAAATAGCGAATAATAAATTGAGGTCAGTGGTTTCTCTCTGCAACCAAAGAATCTGAATCACAAAGCCGCTCAAATGGTTAAATGCCTTTGGAAAAGGGGTTGTCTCTGACAGGTGGAAATCAACTCTGATTGGTTAACAATTAATGATATAATGAATATTATTGTGAGGGGTAGGCTTATCCTAATGAAGGGCTAGGGGACCTGACATTGATCATGTCATCACTCTTAGACAAAGAGACTCATCTCCACACCCAGATCATTTGCCTCCAGGAATCTATCCAAAAGGATCTAGCCTCCACCCAGTCCTACCTGAGTAGAACAATGGACTGGAATTCACCTACATTAGATTCTCTTTACCCTTTAATTAGAACTAAACTCTAACAGCTGGCTGGGTTCTTGTTGGAGATTGACAAGAATGTTAACTCAATCTCATCATCAGCCTTGTCCTATAGAGGCTGACTGGACCAGTCTTTAAATGAGGAAGTAAAACAAGAAAAAAAAACCCTACTAATAACTGAGCCTACCAATAATTGATTATTAATAATCAAAATGAGGATCTTTGGGTCCTGTATTTCAAATTGGTTATTAATATAATAAAAAATAGTCATTCTCAATACACATATCTAAATATGTATACACACTCATGTACCTACATACACATGTAGGTTCATGTATATAGGTATATAAGTATATTGTATCTGTGTGCATGTATTTGTATACACACATATGTACTTGCATATAAAATATATGTGCATATTGTGTACATATGTGCATGTACGTATGAATGTACACACATGCATATACACACAGTGGGCCCGTAAAAGGTATATATATGTTTATATATCCTGACATGTGTATACATACATAAGTATACGTATTACAAATTTTACTGATATAAAGAATGTCCATTATATGACTTCTCTGATGAATTACAAAATAGTTTTTGAATATTGGAAGGACATTTCCACAATTTTTTGTGCTATTCACAATGCAATGGGTACATACACGACACTTTTAAGTTTAATCTGCATTATTCATATTTTCTCTCTCACTTTCTTAAGTCTATACAATCAATGAAACAACAAATCAAGCCCTAATTTGTAGCATTTGTTGATATCCACAGAGTACATACTTTCACTTTGACCAATTTCAAGCTACCAACAATTGAGAGGAGATCCATATCATTATATGGTATTGCCAATATATGGATACAATACATGTAAATAACCTCAAGAACATAGATAATAGTAAAATGCAGCAAAAATAATTGAGAAGTAATGATTTTAAAGTACTTGTTACTTTTGTTTTTAATATAATTTATTTAATTATAAGTTTGCATAGTTTAATTTTTAATAATGGCCTTGTTTAATAACCGACTCCCAAAATTTCTGAAAATTTAACAATACACTTTTGTAAACTGGTATGAACCAGCTCCAGCACAGCACTGGAGCCCAGGTATTGTCACATCTAACTTTGCTTCTTGACATCCTTCCATCCTGTCCTCCATATATATCTGCTTGCAAGCTCCTCCACCAATGTAAGGGAAATCCTTTTATATTTTAGGTTTTGGGAAAAGCAGAGTTATTGGAGGTAGAGGAGGTGATTATGCTTTCCTTTTTGTTCTTCTCATCATTTAGTAGCAAACTTCCCAAATAGGTGATTTTGTGTCAAGTCAAAAGCCACATCAGAAAGCCCCAACCAAACTAATATATCTTAAGCCAAACATATTGGAATAATATCTTGGGATGCAGTCAGCTGGTCTTTGAGTCTGTTAAAGTACTTAAACATAGCTGCTTATGGGGCTCCAGAGTGTTTTCAAATAGGGGTGTGTCCCATCCACCAACAACTAGCATAGAAATCCACAGATAAAGTAGGAGCCCAAAGATCTTCTAGAACTCCTGTATATTTTAGGGTAGTCTTATCTTATCTCGTGGGCTGTGATATTACTAACGGTTTTCCTTATTTCTCAACCTCACTTTGAACTTCATAGCCCTTTCAAAAGTGGAGAGAGAGGGTTTCATCTGTTGCCTCTGTTTCCATGTCTATGTTTGGGGATCTTTGAGTAGTGATACCTTTATCTATGCATCGTCCCAAGGCAGTAGGGAAAACCTTTTAGATGTCTTCTCTATCTATGGACTTATAACTAGTGGACAGGGAGGGATTCCTTGGATTTTAGTAATGCAAGGCCAAAAAAATGATGAACCCTAAAGTTACTGAACCATTTTAATAGAAATAGGGCATAAGGAAATACATATATCTTACCACATCTATGGTTAGTTGCTGTTCTTTGTGCTCAGAAAGGACCAAAATGACATCACTATGTTGGGGTCAAGGTGTAGTGTGTTGACTACAGCTGATCAGATCAATTTGAGCTTGAAAGGCTCTACCACAGGTCATTCACAAATAGCCCACATGAACATTTGCAGTGGAGATGTTTTGCACCTCACATTTCTTTTGAGCTGCTGTAATTCTGCTTTGCTCATAGAGTACAGCACCTTCTTTGGTGTGGGCATATCATGCTGGATGGTGTCTCCCATGTCTAGCAATCCATTCCAAAGTTCTTCAGAGAGATCTTGAGAGTGTCCTTGTATCACTTCTTCTGACCTCTGTGTGAGCACTTGCCTTGTGTGAGCTCTTTGTAAAACAGTCTTTTAGACAAATACACTTTTGGCATTTGAAGAACAAGGCCAGCCCATTGGAATTGCACTCTCTGAAGCAGAGTTGGAATGCTTGGCAGTTCAACTTGAGAAAGGACCTCAGTATCCAGTACCTTATCTTGCTAGATGATCTTCAGAATCTTCCTAAGACAATTCATATGGAAGGGATTCTGTTTCCAGGCATGGTACTGGTATATTGTCCATGTTTCAGAGGCATACAACAATGAGGTCAGCACAACAGCTCTGAAGACTCTCAGTATGGTTGGCAACCTAATACCACTTCTCTTCCACACTTTCCTTCAGAGACTCCCAAATATTGATCTAGCTCTGCAATGTATGCATCAACCTCATCATTTATGTGTATATCCTGGGAAAGCATACTGCCAACATAAGTGAAATTATCCACAGCATTAAAAATTTCTCCATTTGCTATAACAGATGGTTTCCACATATGGATGGTGTGGTGCTAGCTGGTGGAGGACTTCTGTTTTCTTGGTGTTAATTATCGGGCCAAAATTAGCACAAGTGGCAGTCGATCCATACTTTGTTGCATGTCAGCCTCAGAGGCTGCACTGAGTGTACAATTGTCTGCAAATAAAATGTCATGCACCAACTCTCTCTCCACTTTAGTCTTGATGCTAAAATGGCATTGGTAATGTTTTTTGACTTGGACATTAAATGTATTTAAGTGAGGCAGAGTTGCTCAAAGTTGTAGGCCTCATTCTCCCAGAGTCATTGAAGTCCAGTGGCAAGACAAAGGTCAAGATGATTGGTGATGGCTTAAGATGCAGTAGATGACCTTGGCATCTTTGATGTCTGACCTAGCTCTAAGCACTCCATAGCACTGCTTCTGCCACCTTGATGACCATTGGAACAAATTGTTGTCA